TCTGAGAATGGTCCAATGGGTCTTCCTGGGCAGAGTGGTCCACGCCAGGCAGAGGAGAGGACTCTACCACAGCTGCAGAGAACACGGATGCCTGCTTCTGCTTCTCGGGGGGCCTCGCCTCAAAGTGACGGGACTCGCTCAGAGGAGGGAGCACATCTGGGAGACAGGAGGGGACATGAACCTTCTGGGACCTTTCCCTGCACCCCCTTTCTCCCCTCCCTCTGAATCCAGTTCCTTCAATGGAATGTTTTGAAACAGAATAGAGGGTGACTTCCTGCCCCTTACACAAGCTCACTCCATCATCCCGCAGAAACAGAAAACGTTGGGTCTACAGGGCAGCCAGAAGGTCCCAGCCTCACCCTATGTAGCCTAGATGACCCCAAAGTCCAGTCACTGTCCCGTGCCTCAAGTCTCAGCCCTTTCCCACCAAAGTACCAAAGGGATTCTCGAAAGTGCCAAAGGATCAAGTCATTGGTTAGCTTAATCCCTTGGTGCTTCGGGGTGTGGTCCAAATTTCTTCATGCTCCTTGGAGGTCTCCAGGATGAAATTCACTTTTCTCACGTCCATTCTCACTGGAGGGTGCTGAGTGTCTGATGTAAACATCCTGAGGGGCTTTTCTCTAGGGGGAAGTCACTGTGTGAGGCTCAGGGAAGAGGGGTGAGTTACATCCAACCATCAAGAGCCCAACAGCCATTGGTGGAATTGAAGGGTAGGAAGGAAAGGATCAGCTCAGCATGCAGAGTGATAACCAAGGTTCACCACAGAAAGATCAGTGGTGTACTCAACATGTGATAGACACTACAGTGGGTCCCAAGATGTGATCCTGAGAAACATGAGGCTTGATGTCTGAGGACCCCACCAGCATGCAACACTTCTGGGCTCCAGTTGGTCAGTTCAGAAGGACCCTTGGGGCTTCCTGTTGCTGTGGGATGGTCTGTATGTCAAATTGCTCTGATTGGTCAATAAATAAAACACTGATTGGCCAATGGCCAGGCAGGAAGTAGGTGGGACAAGGAGAGAGGAGAATTCTGGGAAGCGGAAGGCTGAGGCAGAGAGACACTGCCAGCCACCGCCATGACCAGCAGCATGTGAAGACGCCGGTAAGCCACCAGCCACGTGGCAAGGTATAGATTTATGGAAATGGATTAATTTAAACTATAAGAACAGTTAACAAGAAGCCTGCCACGGCCATACAGTTTGTAAGCAATATAAGTCTCTGTGTTTACTTGGTTGGGTCTGAGCGGCTGTGGGACTGGCGGGTGACAAAGATTTGTCCTGACTGTGGGCAAGGCAGGAAAACTCTAGCTACATCCTGTCCTCAAGTTCTGTGGCCTTCTGGACTTCGGAACAGAATGTTACTGGGGCTTTTCAGGATGGAGGACAGATCTACCAGTGGCCCTGTGCTGGAAGCCAGGTTCTCTGGGAGAGGGAAGAGCTATGAGTGGAGGCAACTGCTTCAGGAAACGGAGGACTTCCTCCTTCCCTTCTGTGGGAAGAGATGCCCACACAGACACAGACACACACCTGGACACGAACACACAGACCAACACATCACACACAGACAGACACACACGTATTCACAGACAGACAGACAGACAGACACACACAGACACACACCTGGACATGAACACACAGACCAACACATCACACACACACAGACACACACGTATACACACACACACACACACACACAGACATGGACATACACACACGGACATGGACACACACACACATATACAGACACACACACATACACACGCGAGGTATTGTACACTCAACATGTGCTCTCTAATACGGCAGATCCCCAACACTAGCTGTGAACACCATGCTCTAAAAGGCCAAGAGGTCTCTGGGAAGGTCGGAGATGACCCAGCCACTGTGTGTGGAGTGCTGTGAGGCTGGCGAGCCCACACTGGGAAGCTGCTTCTTCAGGTGAATTTCTAAAACTAGCCTGACTTGGTCAGGTCCTGTGACCATCAGTGGGTGGGGTGGGGATGGACTGAGCAGGAAGTGACCATAGAGACCGGATTGGGGGGGAGGGGGCTAGTCCCCACAGCCACCACAGCTTGGAGGTGCCAAGAAGTCACATAACCTCCCCACAGGGAGTGGCCTTCACGTAGAGGGATGTGAGTGAACGTCAGAGTCTCCACAGCATGGATTCCGTCCCACTCCATCAGCAGGGCACCCAGGGGCAGCGTAACCTCTGACTGAGAAAGGATGGTGGTTGGCCAGGGAGTGAAAGGAAGGATAGAGTTCTGATTGGTGGGCAGAGGGTGCCAAGGGCAACAGGGACCTCCAGTGCACACCAGTGCACACCAGTGCACACCGGTGCACACCAGTGGGGGTGTGTGATGAAGCTTAGGCCTAGTGTAGTGGAGAGGGAGAGCAGGAGATGAGGGAGAGGAGAGCCATGACAGGTTCAGCAGCCCCCCTTCCCACCTTGCACTTGGGGAGACGCCAAAAAGCAGTAGAGAGGTCTGGCTTGCACCCCCATTCCCACACAAGAGCAGGGTAGGCACTCTCCAGGGTCCAGCTTACACAAAACCTCCCAATCGGAGGAAGTCGCTGGCTGGGCTGCCCCTGGGGCCTGTATTCAAGACCAGGGTGCACTCACACAGCCAAGCCCGTAGTCCGCGAGGAATGAGACAGCCAGGGAACAGGACATGGAGAGTGCTGCTCGGACCGCTGAGCAACCGTTCACCAGCAGAAGCTGGGGACGCGCGCAAACGTTTGTGCCTCCCCCAGTCTGGGCTGTCACTGTGGCAAGCCCAGTCTGCCTTTCCAGCCACGCTTTTGACAACGACAGTGATCCTGGCATAGCAGTGTGTGTCTGGAGAGAAATCCCACCAGGACACTGTCATCTGCTGTAATCAAGCCCATATCGGGAAGGTACTCGCCGCTGTGCGGAATCAGGGGTCAGTGGTGGCGGCTGCAGGCCTTAGTGCCTAGGGAGGGATGGCTTCCCAGGCCTGTGCCGGTGTTTGGTCCACATGGATGACTTCTCTGTGTGACCGGGGACAATGTCCTGTCCCTTCTGCCAGGAAGGGGGTGGTGAATGGTTGGGGGTCACACCTTCTAGCTGTAGGCACAGTACCTACCTCTGCCATCAGTACCACCCTGTGGCTTCTGCCCTTTGGACCCCAGTCTCCCCATCGGTAAAGCTAAAGCTAGCCCATTCCTTGGAGGAGTTGCAGACAGCCCTGCAGACCCCTACAAGCCTGGAGGGCTGAGAGCCTTGCAAAGGAAGATAATGTCTAAGCACAGGACCTCTGGGTTTTGACTGGTCTCTCCTTTTGGAAGTCCACATCATCCCTGCAGCTGTGCCTTGGGCTGCCACAGGCACAGAAAAGAATTTGTATATGTTCCTGTTGGGGAGGGCGGGGCGGGGGGGGGGGGGGGGGGGGTTCCCCCTTGGATACAAGGGTGTCAATGAAATCCTCACTCTCATGATAAAAGGCATGCCAGGCACCCAGTGCACAGAGCTGTCTTCCTCCAGGCGACAGGTGGGAGGCCTCTGGAAGCAGTGTTTCTCATTTCCCCAGAGGAAACCTGTGACATCAAATCATGGTGTGTGTGTGGGGGGGGGGGAGGGTGGCAGCCTTTCCCACAGAGTGAGAGAGGGCAAGGGTACCGCCTCTCTAGCTAAAGCCCTAAGAGGTCTGGGAACCAGTGGCTGTCGCCGAAAGGCCATTGCTCATTGCCTCATCAGCTCTCCCCAGGGAACAAATCTTGTCATTATCGGAGATACACCCAGAGTGAGGCTGGAGCTCCTTGTTATGTGGCCGGGATGGAACCTGAATGCCACGCAGCCACACATCTGCCCAGAGTGACTCACTGGAGGAAATACATTGACCTCTTTTCTTACAAAACACCACCACTAAAGCCAATCCACCACTGCTAAGGAGATGCCTTCCAGAGATTGGATGGCAGCAGCCATCACCTTATTAGGAAGCTAGGTCAGCTCCGAGGTAGGACCCTAGGATCTGGTCACAACTGCAGGGTGGGAGTGGAGGGTTTGGGTCACCCATCTTCAGACGAGCAAGTCAGCTGAGGTTCGATCTGGTTCCTGCTACCGCCACGAGCACCAGCCTATGGCTTTAGTTGTCTGGGCCTCGCTTTGCCCATCTGTAAGATGAACTGACCAGTTTCCTTCATGGAGTTATTTAGAGACCCAACGAGATGGTTTGTGAATATGTCACGTGTCCTTTCTTTTGGGGGTTAGAAATCCATTTGCATTTACACGCATACACAACTCTACTCTAAATGGCACGAGTGTGCACTCTAGATGTTAGCAGAAGCAGAACAAGGTAGCCTTGTGACCTGACGGTCTGTAAGGAACGGTTCAAAGATTGTAACTCAGGACCACAGTTTCCTGTCTGCGCAAGGAGGCTGTTATACTGGACAGTACCTCATTTTTCTGTCGACATAGGCCTTCCACAACCCCAGAACATTTTCTCACTCTTAACAGATGTGGGCAGGCTATGGTATGGTGAGTGACGCCCACACAGGAGGAGAGGCAGGTGAGACAGCATCCCTAGAAGAGAGATGTGAGGAGATAGTGTCCGGGAGGCAGAGGTGGAGGGGAGGGGCAAGCCTGGACTGCAGGGAGCAGGCTGAAAGGGAAGCCAGGCTGGGAGTCCTCAGGAGCACGGGAAATGAGGACACAGTAAGGTCAGAGAGAGCGGCCTTTGTCCTGCAGCTCCTGCTCCACCCTGGGGTGTGAAGGCACTTACCGCCCTCTCTGGAGCCATCAGTGCCCAGGTGTCCCTCCCACAATTCCTGGCTCCTGGGAGATTCTCGGTTGTTCCTCTGGAAGGGCTCCTGGGCATCCCTGAAGCTGCTGCCTTAGTTGTCTTTTCCAGCCCAGGGTAGGCAAACTTCCCCTGGAAGGGCCACAGAGGAAGCCCCTCAGGTTCTGGGGGGCCATCGAGTCTACCTCAGCTCTGTCTTGTACTGCCTTAGGTATCACTAACAACCCCCAAGCACACAAATAGGCAGGTTAGTTCCAATAACACTTTATTTATGGACAACAAAATTTGAATTTAAAGTACTAGTCACGGGTCACAAAATGTTATTCCTTTGAGGGTTTTTTTTTTTAAATCATTTAAAAATATAAACCTATTCTAACTTCATAGGGTGTGCAAAACAGGTGGTCCTCCAGATCTAGCCACGGGCTGCAGTTTACAGGCTTATTCTGATCCGTCAAAGCCAGTTTGTGGACCCGCAGCCCCAGCCTCCAGCTGCATCTGGGAGCTCACGGAAAAAAATAGCTTTTTTTTTTTTTCTCAGCTCTACAAATCCAAACTCTGGGTTTAACATGATCACAGCAACAGTCACTCATATGCACTCTAAGTTACAAAAATATGGATGGGGGGGGGGGGGAGCGGGCGTCATTTCAGACATTCTCAATTCACAGGAACGGAGTGTAGCCTGGACACTGAGCTTTCAAAGCTACCCCTGGTGGATACAGCCAAGTTCAAGTACTTGAAACCCAGAGATCTCCCAGGGACTAGGGACTACTGACTCTCAGAGCATCCAGGCCACTCCTCTATGACAAAGCATATCACCATGTAAGGACACACTGCCATCACTGAGCCCCCCAGGGCCAGTGTCCCTCTGGATCCTAACCTGTGGAGATCTCACAGATGGTCTCCTACTCCCGAATGAGCAAAAGCTACTCTTCCCTGTAATTCATTCCCTCCATCCTCATCCCTAGTGTCACTGCCCCAGAAGGCAGGGAACACAGGAAGATGCCTTCTGCTTACTCTCTTTAAACCCTGAGCTACACACACACCCTCTTCCTGGAGCTCTGAGTCCTCAGGGTAGTACCCAGGTCCTAGCTTCTCAAGGACTCTTGGATAAAGGGTATAAAAAAGGCAAGCCGACCTTTCAGCAAATCGACTGAGCCCCAAGAACCCACATACTCCAGCAGACCCTGCTCTCCCTTTACCTAGAGCCTCGACTTCCTCAGACCCCAACTTCTTCCTCTGCCTCTGATGGTCACAGGACCTAGGTTCATCTTGGAGAAATGTGAAGAGGAGACACACAGCACAGTTCAGAGCAACCAGCATCTTAGCCAGCCTGGCTAAGAACCTTCAGAGTCCTACGTGAGAGGGCTGGGGGAGAGGGAGGCAGGGGGTAGTCCCTGTGTCTTCTTGGACAGCCACTAACATCGCTGCTACGTGGCCATCGACCCCAGGTCTGATCCATCTCTACCCGAGCATCTTCTCACTGAAGCCCTGGAGCGAGCATGCACCCTGCAGACACAATCTCCACTCTCCAAGTGACAACATCCCACCTCCTGGAGACCCTGCCCTAGGAATCAACAGCCCAAACCGTGGACATCCTGGATAGGCAGACCTAGAAGGCACCCTGAGAAAATCAGTCATCCTCTTACTTCTGGGAAAAATCTGAGCTCAGGGAAGAGTGGAGGCAGGTGGAAGACACCCGTGTCCCTCCATTTATACCCTCCACCTCCTAGTCCACCAAAGTGCTCCTTCCCTGGAGCCCTCTCAGCTGAGGTGGGGGTAGGGTGAAGGGCAAGGCTCTCCGGCTCCTAGAAGGTGGAAACCAAGAAAAGGTTAGGCCTCCAGGCCCAGCTCTTAGGCTTTGGCCAACAACAGCATTACAGTGCCCTGCTTTTGACGGCCCTCCTGCCTGGTCCAGACCTGGGGAGAACACAGTGGATACCTGTGCAGCTCACCCCCTTCCCAGGCAGAACAACAGAAACAGCTCTGAGCAGAAACTGGTGCAAGGATCCTGAACCAACCACTGTGATTCTCTGAAGATCCCCCCTGGGCACACAAACCGCGGAGGAGCTCAGACCCTACTTTAGAGAAGGCCCCGGAACCAATACTGCCTGGTGGTGGAGAGACCACATGGACTCGGCGACAATCAGAACCAGGCCTGGATTCCTCTTCTGTGCGACCCTGAGCCTCGGTTTCTTTACCTGTAAAATGGGGATACCTGTCCACTCGGGTAGCTGGATAGGAATAAGGGGGAGTGAAAAGGAGTGCCCCACAGGCGACAGCTCTGAGCCAGCTGCCTCACAACCAGGCTCTGCAACCTCTCCTTCCTCCCCGGGCCCCGGGGAGGCGGCCCTTCCACAGAAGGAAGCAGGAGAGTGTCTCGTGGAATGTGGCAAGGCGCCTTGGAGCTGAACCCTGCGCCTTGCAGCTCTTCTTTAATTAGCTCGCCACTAAAAATAGCTACCCTCCACGCTCCCTCTGGGGGCTGCACACCTCCTTTCTGGCCTGGCACTAGGGTGTACAGGAGCCACTCATGGGGGGTGGGGAGTGGAAACAGTGAACTGGAGACAACCCACAACACGGAGGGTAGGCCGAACAGGAAGTTTTATTGAAGGAGACACGGAAGCAGATGTGGGCTCCGGCCAGGCCGTTCCTATAGCCCCAAGCGGCTCCGTGGCTCCTGCACTCCCCAGATCCCTTACCCCTGAACAGCTGGCACCCCGTGGAGTCTTACCCAGCCTTGGCAGGGTCTGCTCAGGGGAGGGCAGGGAGACCCAGGCAGCTCCCTTGAAGCCACAGACATGCCTACTGGCAATGCCTAGCCAATGGTCTGTCCGTCCACCGGCCAGTCTGTCCCCCCCGCCTGGGAGCGCAGACATCACTTGCAACTCTGGAGTCGGGTCCTTTGGTGCTTCTCTGTCAGCAGGGGGATGAAGGTATCACTGTGGGAGAGCTTCAGCCGGCTGCCCCAGCTGGGCCCCTCCCTGGCAGCAGGCTCTGGGGGCAGGGTGTCCAGGTCGCTGCGGGAGCCGCCGCAGGGTTTGCCTTCGCTGCTGGAGTTGAGCTCCATCAGCTCCAGCTCGTGCTTGGCGGCCGTCTCCAGGACGCGCTGCTTGTTGTAGTATCTGACAAAGTTGTTGATGATGGGGTGAATGGGCAAGGCGATGGCAATGACCCCGCACAAGAAACTGATGGCCGCGTTCAGCTTGCCCAGCGTGGTCTTGGGGTAGATGTCACCATAGCCCACTGTGGTCATGGTGATGATGGCCCACCAGAAGGACTGGGGAATGCTCTTGAACAGAGTCTCCGGGTGGCTCTGCTCCATGGTGTAGCCTAGGGCGGAAAAGACGAAGATGCCCACGGCCAGGTACATAAGCAACAGCCCGAGTTCCTTGAAACTGCGCTTGAGGGCGTAGGTGAGGGTCTGCAGGCCTGAGGAGTGGCGGGCCAGCTTGAAGATGCGCGCGATGCGCATGATCCGCAGGGCCTGCACAGCCTGCTGCACGTTGGTCAGTTCCATCATTCGTGCGCCCAGGTGCGTGAGTGTGAGGCTCACATAGAACGGGAGGATGGCCAGCACGTCCACGATGTTCATGAAAGACAGAGCGAAGTGCAGCTTGTTGGGCGACGAGAAGAGGCGCAGCAGGTACTCCAGCGTGAACCAGCCGATGCAAGCCGTCTCCACGTTCTCCAGCGTCGGGTGCTCCACGCGGTTGCCCTCAGCGTCCACCACCTGCAGCTCGGGTATGGTGCCCATGCACATGACCACGGAGGAGACAAGGATGAGCAGGAAGGATAGAACCGCCACCACCCGCGCCGGGCACGACGACTCGGGCTTCTCCAGGAACTTCCAGACGCACTTTTGGCAGCGGCGCCAGCGACCCTCGGCCGCGTCTACACCCAGATCGTCCAGGATGAGCTGCACCCTGCGAGCGATCTCCTCCAGCTCCTCGCGCTTCTCGCTCAGGTGGCTCTTGCAACAATCATCCAGGAATTTGAGGTCCACCTTCCAGAAGTCCATCTCGTTCTTGAAGCAGATGGGACAGATGCCCTTTTTCATGTGGACCTCCCCGAAATAGTACACCTCAATAACACACTTAAACGCGTCCGGGTCCCGGTCAAAGTAGAATTCGCGCTTGCCTGGGTCGTAATCGTCGCACAGGGAGAAGATGGTGTCATAGCCACCGGCCAAGCAGTCGATGAGCTCCGCCAGCCGGGTCTCGGGGTACTGGCTGAGCAGGTCTCCGTAGAGCACCTGCCGCACGCCCCCCACATTCACCACGATCTCAATGTCGTCGCCTGCCACCGAGTCCTGGCTGCCAGGCTCCGGGAGGCTTTGCTCGGCAGACGCGTCCATGCTCCCCGCGGGTGCGCTCGCAAGCCCGGGTTCCATGCGCCCTGCTGCCTCCGCCAATGCGCGGCTCTGGGGACAGCAGCCACCTGCTGAGAAGGGCACTCACAGCGGGCGGCAGCAGGCTGGGGCGCGCCGCAGGGGAGCCATGCACCCGGTGGCAGCGGCGGGGCTGCCCGCTGGCATCCAGGCGCACCAGCAGGGGACTCCGCGGCCAATGGCCTCCGGTGTTCGGGACACTCACCCTCAACTCCGGATATGTTGCTTCAGCTCGGTCCAGAACAGGACCAGGCTCTCCTCAGCAGGCAGCGAGCGACCTCCTTCCCCCTGCGGCGGCGGCGGCGGCGAGCAAGCAGCGGCGGCGGGTCAGCCCAGGAGCTGCACGATCCGGATGTGCGGGGAGCGAACTTGGACTGGCTTTGCCAGAGCCGTTCCGAAACACAATAGGAATTCCAGCCTGACGTCAAACGCTTTGCTACTGTACCCTCTTCTGGTGAGATTTCGCACCACACGCGCCGCGGCTGCCCAGGAATGAGTTAACCCTTGGGGCAGACCTGCACGGTCGCCGCCACCGCTACTGCGCCACACGGGCTGCGCCTGCGGGCTCAGGGGTTACGACCCAGAGCTTTAAGGTCACACCGGCTCTGACCCGCTGCGGAGTCCCTCCTGCACTGCTGGGTGAGAGCGGCAAGAGGACCTCCTCCGCCTGTTGCTCACCAAGGCACCGAGGCAGCTGCACACTCCTTGGGCGCATCCCTTCTGTCCCAGGCTTCAGTTGGCCCCGGAAGGGTTCCTGACACTCCCGGAGCGCTGCCTTGTTGTTGATGTGACCTTGTCCCCTACCCTTACAGCTGTCTCCGCTTCCATGGTGAAAAAAGAAAATTGCACCATGTTACAAGACGAAAAGGGAGAAGAGCTTAGCCATCCCTTAACCCAGGGCTTTCCTGCTGGCTTGGCCGCTGGCTTACACCCCATCACCACTAGTTCCCAGAGTCCCTGTGCCCCCCATCCCCCCACTCCCCTGAAGGAAGTTAGATCTTCCAGTCGGATACTCCCACACTCCTTCTCATCTTTCCTCAGGCTGAGAGCATCTCTGCTTCCAGCCCACAGTTCTTATCACCAGGATTATCAAAACTATGGCCCAGAATTGGGTTTAAAAAATGTAAGCTGGGCCAAGATACAACTCGGTTGGTAGAGTCCTTGCCTAGCATGCTCAGGGCCCTGTGTGTTCGCTCTCCCACACCACATAAACTGGCCTGGAGGTGCTTGTCCGTGATCCCAGCTTTCTTCACTTAGGAAAGGGAGCCAGGAAGAGCAGAAGCTCAAGGTTATCCTCTAGCATGGGAGGCTATCCTGGGCTAGAGATTGTCTCAAAAAGAAAATAAAGTTGGGAGGATGAACAGGCAGAGCCAGGAAGAGAGGCGAATGGCACAGTGATGCTATTCTGCCTGATCGTGTGGTGGCAAACATGTCATCCACATTCACAAACATTTGTCAAAACCCACAGGACGCACAACAGCAAGAGGGGGCCCTCAAGGACGCCGTGGGCCCAGTGCGTGATGACGGTCCTCTGTCCCTGTAGTTTCCTCAGCTGTGACAAGCATTCCACTCCCACAGTGATGTTCACAGTGGGCGATGCTGATCATGGGGGGAGCTGTGGAGACAGGGTCTGGGAAAGTGCCTTTTTCCCCCTGGACCTAAGACTGCTGGTTTAGAAAGACGATGAAAATGTACTCTGTAAGCTGGATGTCCTAGGCACTGGAGATGGTGCCTGTTCGTGAATCATGAAGCTGGTATAGGGGCCCCTGGCAGTGTGTTATTCTTTAATGGGGTGATATAAAAACTGGGTGCACTAAAACACAGCACACATGGTATCATTTGGGGGAAACGCCTTACAATATTTATTTCATTTCCAATCTATGATGTGCTACTCAGAAAAGGAAATCGAGGGTGGAAAGGTTGGATGGCATAACAGTTAACACCGATATAAGAGAACTGTGTACGCAGCACTCTGGGTGCTTTCCATTTTTCTTACTCAGTCCCCAGCTGCTCTCTGAGAACTGAAGACATCAATTAACTGCCACCATCACCCACTACATGTGGGATCTGGGATCCAGGCTGCTAGGCTCCGGGCCCCTTTCCTCCTGTAGGCCACCGTCTCCACACCCTTAGATCCGGCTTGTCTATGCTGTTCCCCTTCTCGGCTGTCTCCTGTTGTTCCCTGTCCAGGCAGGGGCCAGTGCAAATGGCGTCTACGTCTGAGCTTTATCGACTTAAAAGACCCATTCTCACTCACATGCTCACTGAGGTCCTGTGCATGTATGCATGCCACACCCACCCTGCCTAAAGAGAGAATCACACTCTACTGGAAATTTAAATACAAGTTTACAGTTAAGGAACACATACCGAGGGAGGGATAGATGTAAGGGGGCGGTACTTCCTGAGCCCCCCATAGGTGGTGCTGTCAGGATGCCAAAGCAAGAAAGCAAGAAGCAAGAAGATGCAAAGCAAGAAGATACAAAAGCAAGGGCCTGGGATCATACCTCAACTGGCAGAGTGCTTGCCTAGCATGCATGAAGCCCTGAGTTCCACACTCAACATGGCATAAAAATCGGACATGGTAGAGGCAGAAGGGTCAGGAGTTCAAGGCTATCCTTGCCCATGTAGTGAATTTGAAGTCATACAATGCACCCTGTCTCAAAGAGAAACAAAACTCACAGCGTTCACTTGATTTGATGTCACTGTGCCTGATGGAACCTCAGCCACCACCCTGGGCACCATCACTGTGTGCAGACGCTCTCACGAACCCCAAGATTTGTGGATACCTCACCAGCGCAGAAGAGGCTGGGGGTTAAAATTATTCTCCAGAATTAATGTACTTTAAAACACCAAGAAAGGGCACAGGTAGGGTAAATTCGGGCTTGACCAGGCAGGGCTGGGCACAAGGTAAGAGTGGGAGCCTTCACTGGGGTCTCCACGGGAAAAGCCAAGGCAGGATGAAGAATTTAGGAGCTGGAGTCCTCTGGCAGGCCCAGGATAAGGATGGTCTCCGTCTTTTCTGTACCTGGGTCTGGGGTGATTTACAGTAGGGAAATATTGGCACACTGTGGGGATTTGCTAAGGAAGCGGGTGGGACAGGGCTTGGAACTGAATTGGTCACCACCACCCCCCCTTGGAAAGAACTTAAGAGTGGACATTCTCCTCTCAGGCTTTGTGACCCAGATGCCGTAGCAGAGACCATGGAGGAACACTGCTTGTTCTCCATGGCTTGCTGGCCTGCTGTCTTATGTAATCCAGGACCACCTACTCGGGGGTGGCACCACCCACGGTGGATGGGGCCCTTCCATGTCAATCATTAACCAAGAAAATGCTCCTGTAGACTTGCTTGCCTCCAGGCCAGTCTGGTGGGGGACATTTTCTCACTTGAGGTCACTTCTTCCCAGATGACCCTGGCATGTTGTTGAGTCAACAATAAAACTAACCGGCATAATGAGAGGCTACTTCTCCATGCAGAGCTGAATGGCCTGTGGTGTAGGGTGCAGTCTTACCAATAATAGGAGGGGTAGGTATTGGTGCCAGATTTGGTGGGGGTCTGGCAACTGACAGCAGGAGGTCCAACTACCTGGCCAGCCTTGGGCTGCCCACTGAAACTCAGGTGGTAGCTGGCCAGTTTCACCTACACTGACCCAGACAGTAGCCATTGGCCACCTGGCTTCTGAGCATTTGAAACGTGACTAGTGCCAGGGAAGAGCTGAGTGCTTTGGCCTTATTTGATCTTAGCAACTTTATTAAGACATAACTCACAACGCATACAACTGCTCCTGTGTGTGTGCATGTGTGTGTGTGCGTGTGTGTGTGTGTGTGTGTGTGTGTGTGTGTGTGTGTGTGTGTGTACAGGGACGTGGGGGGGATGTGTGTGGGCATGTACATATGTGCCTATGCAGGTAGAGACCATAGGTCAGCCTTCGGTATTGCTCTAGGAACCCAATCCACCTCATTTTTCCAACACTGTCTGGGACTCACTGATTCAGCTAGGCTGGCTGGCCGGTGAGTCCTGGGGATCTGCCTGTCCATGCCTCCCTGGAAGTGAGATTACAGGGATGCACCACCCTAGCAGGCGTCTTGACCGGGGATTGAACTCAGGTCCTCGAGATTGCACAGCAAGCTCTTTACTGACTGAACCATCTCCCTGGCCCCGACTTCCTCCTTTTAACCAGACGATGACTTGTAGTGTAGCCACAGTTTGTGCACTATCCCCACCATGAGTTCCAGCTCGTTTTGGTCCTGTGTTTGCAACAGGAGCTCACTAGGTAGCCCTGAGTGTCCTAAAACTTACAGGGTAAACCAGGCTGGCCTCGAACTCACAGAGATCCGCCTGCCTCTGCCTCCCGAGTGCTGGGATTAAAGGCGTGCGCCTGCACCACCCAGCTCAACTCATTTTTGTCATGCCAAGAAACAGCCTTGTTCCTTGTAGCCATGAGCCCTAGCCTTTTCCGGCCTTAGGGAACCAGGAGCCTGCTTTCTGGCCGGCAGCTTGCCTGTGGATAGTTTGTGTAAATGGAATCTCAGAAAATCCAGCCTTTTGAAATCCAGGGTTGGTTTTTTTTTTTTTTTCCACTTAGGATACTTTAAGTCTCACCCATACTGTGGCAGGCATCAGTTTTCCATTCTTTTTTAAGGCTGAGTCGTAATCATGCTACTGATAAATCACCCCATACTTCCAGCCCTTCGTGGCCAGCGGCCACTGTATTAGAGCAGGTCCAGGTAAGCTGGGTCGGAAGGGTGCGGGACGAGTAAACAGACTGAAAGCGATCTCCAGACAGGAGAGATCCCAGCCTAGGTCCTGAGCCAGGCATGCGCTCTACACACCTGAGTCTTTGTACTACAGTGCCGCCCACTTAGCCCCGGGCTTATCTCCCACCCTTCGAAGCTCAGCCCTCGGGGTTCATGCCTCTGACAGGAAGTCTCCCAGGACTATGCTGCTTCCCTGTGGTCCCCAGTGACGAGGTCCCTTCTCTGGTACACTCACAGAGTCCCCCGGCTCTCCCATAGCACAGGCCTGGACACCCGGGGGCTGGATGAGTGGCATTGAGGAAAGAGAAACGTTCACTTTACTGTGCACAGATTCCACACCGTTTGGAAGACCATGGGGGGTGTTCATGCCTATGGTGGGCCATCATTCGCTCTGCTCTCCCTCGAAGTTGGCATCAGCCGTTTCTGAGGCATGTCCACAAGAGACACCTGTCCTCCGAACATGCCATAGCACCATGGGAAGCCTCACTGAGAGGTGAGAGGCAGCTGGGTGCTGAGTGGAATGGGGCCACAGCTGGCTGAGGGGTTGCTGTGGGGGCCATGGCTGGTGGAGGCGGGCCTTCTTTCTGCAAACAGGACACAGGCGTTTTCCTTCCAATCTACAAGAGGCCGACAAGAAACCAAGCCTGCTCGCCCCTTGATCTTGGGCCTGAAGGCCCAGAACTATGAAACTGTGGATGGCTGCTGGGATGAGCTACTTGGTTGTGTCCTCCTCCTCTGAGACTCCCTCCCTAAGGCCCTCAGGCCAAGACCTTCTCTTCTGACCATCAACCAGGAGGCTTGAATGCGGTTCCCTAAGTTTCAGAAATGCTCACACACTGCGATCTCACTGAAGGTCACCGTTGCCCAGACAATCCAGAGCAGTCCGGATCCATTTAGAATTTCCTGGAGGGCTAAGCAGGACACATAGGTCTGGGCTGTTGGCTAAAAACGGAATGTCCCTTCCTGGGGTATGTTTGGTCCTATATTTGACTTCTGTGGGAATTGTACATTTCATGGCACCATGCAGGGGCCTGGGGGGGGGGGGGGGGCGGGGATGGAACAGCCCAAATCTTCTATTAGACACCAGCAGCAGTTTTGACTCACCGGCTTTCCATTTAAATAGCTATGAGAAAAACCCACCGTGGAGTTACGGGTTCTGGGAAGCAATTGTTTGAGCCACACTT